CAAAGAAGAATTAAATGAGTCAGCAGAGGAACAAACAAAGACAAATAGATAAAACAACTTACTTAAATAAAGGTCCAGAATCGAAATTTAGATAACTGAAATGAAGAATGTGATGGTGGAGACAAAAGAATATGGAGAAAAGAAAGTGGAGAAGGAATTAGAAAACTTACTGACGTGATTTGAGAAAGGAAGTCCGATTGGAGATGGAGTCAAAATTGAGAAAGAAGGAGAGAGGGATCAAGTAATTTCTCTTAAGGAGTTGTGTGTTTGTGTCTGTGTGTGGAATTGGCGTGTGTTCTATTTTTTTGTGATCCATCTGAGGGGTAATCATAGTAGTTTTCTTATATTTTTTCTTTTGATTGTGTCATTCATTGAATAAAACGGGTTTTTGTTAGTTGGTCATGACTTCTTTGATAACAGAGACAAAGAACAGTTCTCCTACCTTCATTTTTGTAAATGTCCTTGATAACAGAGACAAGGAGAGAATTAGAAAAACTGTACCTTTTGAATCCATTTTTCATTGTTATTGAGCGTGTTGTTATTGTGGTATTTTGGTGTCGCAACCTTTATTCTGCTGAGATGGGTCATCAATCAGTCGTCAGACCGTTAGAATCAGATTCAAGGCCGGGTCGAGTCGAGAGAGATTTTGGTTCAATTTCCGAAGACGTTCGGCCTGCTTTTGATATTTGAGGTTGATTGGATTTCCGAGTTAGGAAGTTTACAATTCTTGGATGTTTCAGATGGAAGCAAGATGGATACTGAGGTAGGAGTGGTTAGGTTATTTTCAATAGGTTTGTAAATAGACAGGTAAAGAGATACATTGTCAGATTATCTCATGTGTCTATATTTTGCAAAAAAAAACAAGACACGAAAAAAGCTAGAAAAGAACATACCACGTCGGCAACGCTGGAAAAGTTGAAACAATTGTTTGGTGGGCTCCAAATTTCAGCTTAAATTGAATTGTATGAATGATGACTGGTGATGCATCCGGTAGATGCTGTGATCCATGAGGATGATCCACGGTTTGAGGAAAACCCACCTAAATCAACATGTTGGGTCACTTGAATTTGTTTTGTTTTGTGCAATTTTCTGATTGTTGGTAATGAGAGGCTAAGATTGGTTGACTTCGGTGACATTGAGATTTCCTGAATTCACACTGAAAATTCAAATCTTGATAATCCTTGTCTGTGGGTATTGGAGCTAACAATTGATTCTGAAATATTTTGTTCATGTCGGTGGAGCCAAGGAGATGCATTTGTTAGGCATTGTGAGATTGAGTGCAGTTCACAAGTTTCAGATCGGTTTTGATGTGAGGCAGAGCAACACGGCGTGTGAATGATTGGCTTTGAAATTGATGGCGTGACTGATCATGCCAGTGGATGCAGATTGATTTGTGATGAAAGGTTTCTGACTATGGACAAAACTCAAAAATCACGCTAATGGTGGATTTTGTCGAGTTTTGTAAGCGAACCGCTTTGTGGTTAAATGTAATGATTTAGGTATGTATCTACTGTAACTTGTTGTCTTATTTGAATATTTCTTATATCTTCAAATGTGCCTTATCATAAACTGTAATCAAAGAATAAAAGCTATAATGAAATGAAATGAATATTACTAATAATCTGATTGAGAGTGCCATTGTGAGAGAATGGATTGAATATTGACTCTGTTCTCTATGTGTTTCATCTTATGGATATCTTTTGTTGATTTGTAAGTTAAAACACAGAACATTGATGTATATGTGTTGATGATAAAAGTAACTACAAAAAAGGAGAGTTGAGTATAAAGAGGCTGAGAGCTCAACAATATCATTGAATTATCTGAAAAGTCTTGAGTAAATTCTTGAAAGAAATTCAAATTGTAGATATTTTGTAGACTTGAAGATTGAAACCTTATGACATTTTGATTTCCACACCGTCACTGGGGGATTGGGACGGGGGTTGTGGTTCTGTTCTGCCAAGAGTCTGGTTTGGTATGTGGATTGTTGTATGAGGAAAAAGAGAGCAGTCATACAACGTGGATGTACAAAGTGGTTGTTCTCTAATCTGTGACATATTGTGAGACCTTTCACGACTCCGGGAACATGTCAATTGGATCATAACAAGTTGATACCTCATTGTAAAAATCAAGAAATCTGGGTGAAAATATACTGGGAGGTGATTCAACTGAAGCTTGAGATGTGGTGACAGGTTCTTCTTGATCTTGAGTTTGAGTATTAGCTTCTTGATTCTGACGCTCATTCTTAAATTCTACTTCTAATAACGCCTTGGCTTGGTCTTGCTCACAAGAACCTTTGCCAAATGTATGAGAGAAAAAACAAAGACGTAAACCAGGGTGAAATACCGCGGCAAGGACTAATGTGTCACAAGCAAGTGCTTCTTCTAGATAGAGTTTGATCTTCCCTAATGCGACGTCCACCACTGGGTAAAGTGGATCATTCAAGTGCATAACTTTCAATTGATCTTCCATATTTGCCTTGAGCTGAACGTATTTGACCAGTACCATGCAGCCAGTGGGGATATTACCTTCCATCTCCCGAGTCAAAACCTTGTATGGCTACAAAGTAAGTGTGATGGAATCAGTATCAATGACCAAGTTAAGATCATTCAATATTTCAAGACTTACAGTAACAATATCCAGCATATCCCTCAATGCTTGCCAATCAGCCACCAAAAATACAACTTCTTCAAAATAACCGTATTTCTTGCCATCCTTTTGTGAATGGCGCTTCTTCGAGTGCACCTCCGCTAAGTCCTCTTTCATTACCCCATCAATCAACTGAAAAGAAAGACACTTATTAGCAAAGCACAAGGTTTCACAAGAGTGAAAGTAAAAGACATACATGTTGTGCTTCCCACATATGTTCCCATTGTTCAGCACAAATACCCCATTGGATTCCATGGCCAGATAGAAGAGCTTTGAGGGCAGGTAAGCCATCTAGTTTTTTTTTGGACATTGTCTCTTTCACAGCATTGATTGAAATCAGCCCGATGGCCACTGGATTGAGTTAGCTTCTTGTTAACCGTGTCCATCTATGTAGGTCAATGAAATAAGGCAGGCAATTGAGTAAAGGAGGAATGATGAAAGTAAATGAAACAATGCAAATGAAACAATGAAAAAGATGAAAATGAAAGGATGAAAAGATGACAATGTAACTTACATCTTTACTTAACTGTTTCATGTATGTGTCCCCAAGCAAGTAAGCAGTCTTACAGTTTTGATAGTTTTCCGGTTTGTCTTCCTGCTCCGGATCCTCCTCCTCCCCATCAGAGTTGGAACCCAAATCTGAATCCCAATTACTGCTGCTCTGATTGTCATCAGATTGAACATCAAAATCATCTTCATCAGAAGATGAGTCTTCAGCTCCAGAGCTGTTAGTAAGTTCAGCTCTGGAATCTTCATCTGATTCCTCATCAATAACGGCCAGGACTTCAACCGGAGGAAATCCACCTAAGGCGCTATGTCAAATGCGTCTTGGTTTCATTCCAAGTGCATTGAGCCCCATTTTGTGACAACAACATTGAACCAACATAGACTTAGGGCATGTTTGGTACAGCTTATTTTAAGCTACTTACGTTGTTGACTTTCATAAGTCAAATTTCAAAAAGTCCGTTTGGCATCGACTTTTTGAAACTGTTCAATGCTACTTATGGGACCCATAAGTAGCTTATCTTGCTACTTATGATAAAGAGCTAATTACTTCATTATTTTTTCAATAAGCTACTTTTCTGACCCAAAATCTTTTTTTTTTTTTTTCGTTTTTTTAAATCGTACAAGTTGCATCTTTCATATCCACACTTTAACTCACATCAATGTTGTCGTAAAAAAGAAATCTCAATCCACTCACTGTATTTTTCAAAACGTACATGTTGCATCTTCTATACCCCTCGCCTATCTTTGAATCACTTCAACGTTGTTGTCCAATATCACTGTTGATACTTGTTTCATCATCTCTCATCTTTAAACACCACGTCCAAAAGCCATGATAAGGAAACAATCTACAGTCTGACCTGCGCAAATGCATACCCGCGCAACTGCATAACCCGTGATAATGCATAGAAAAAATCCTAAAGTTTGATACTTTTTACTGCCACATTTGACAATGGAATTGCATAACCCGTCAAAATGCATAGCAAGAGCCTTCCACCCAAGTTATGCATTTGCGCGGGTTAGACTGTAATCCAATGTCATTAAAACATCTAGAAAAGTAGTTGGATGTATTTGGATTTGCAAGACAAACAATATTTATGATCTTTTGTGAAACATTTTCCAATGGGTTTTACCCGCTGTGGAGACAACTTTCTCCAAAGAAAGTTGTCAACCTTTCTTGAAACAGCTGTATATCAATCCAGGAATTGATTGAATGCCTAGACAAAAAATTGTTTGTAAAGAAGTAAAGCAATTGGTGGTTCTGGAACTAGAAATGAAATGAAGAAAAGTGGAAGTTAAAGAAAAAGTGGTCCTTGAAGGGTTGGAATGATCAACCAGTTTTTGGATGCCAAACAAAATTGAACTTTTATGTACTTTTAAGTTGAATTTTGGATAAAAGTCAACTTAAAACAGAAATCAACTTTCCAGGGTCGGAACCTTTAACTTCTCTTACGTCATTGACATAAGGTTTCAGCCAAGGGTGAAGGCGGTACTTTGCTAGGAGGGCAGGTAGGTTTGGATTGATCACACTAGGCTTTTGGAATAATCCAGCCTCGCGGGTACGTTTACGGGTGCCGCGTGGACTAGTAGTGGGTGGTAGTGAAGATACTGGGTGCGAGGGTGGTGCTGCTATCAGTGGTACTGATGCTACTAATTCAAGATGTGCAGGCTGTTTTTTGTGTGGGTCTTGGGTTTTGCTGTGGAGTGTAATCTTTGGAGGTGAAGGATGTGTTGGTGAGTCGTCAGGTGTACTATTGACCGTTGGCTGTGCCTCATGTACGGGCTGGGATACAATGAGGTCTTCATAATTGAATGTTGAGGTTGTAACTTCGGATGGTCCACACAACTGTTCAAACAGCGTCTCGACCTACGTACATTCCAGTGAGGGGATGAGAGTATCATCAGTGAAGCACACATAGATTCCACTTGAATCAATGCTTACTGAAAGCTCTTGAAGGGCTCGTGCTGGTGAGGTGTGAGGTGTGATCAAGGTGTCATTTACTGAATCGTGAAACAGAGTCTACATGTGTTTGAAATGGAAAGTTCAGTTTGCCAGTTTGTTATCTTTGTTTGGACATTGAAGGTATTTCTACGTACCGGCGCAGGGGGTTCTGGCAGGAATGCCGTAGGTAATTTGCATTCATCGTTTATCATGCCTTCATTACGGATGATGGTGTGGAGTTTTGTTAGAACTGCCTGTCGTCGATGTGGCGCCATAGCGCAGAGTTGGGCCCGGAGCATTGAAAGTGTCGATTCAAGAGAGTCAAGCGTGTTGAGTTTGGCTTCAATGTCATAGTACCGGTGTCGAGGTGGAGTACATTTAAGAGTTTTGGACAATGGCCCAAGATCTTGGTCGGGCTGTCTGATGTTTTCATTGATCAATGGATGAGTGGTGCCACGTGGTGTCTGAAATGAATGGAAGATAAGAATTAGAGTCGATTCTAAAGGTGGGTTTTGTATTGGATTAACAGATAAATACATTGAAGATGACTGACTGCTGTTAAGGTAGGTTGGACTTGCGTTTTCAGACTGGTGAACATCAAGGTAAAAATCAAGGATGTAAGTTTTTTTCCTTATTTTTCTGAAATTGTGATTGATTTACTTACAATTTGGTTGTGGTTGTCAGTGGTTTGGCTCCTTCAGGTGTCATGTGGGTTTCAATCTTTGAATTCATACTATTGAACATAAAGGTAGGGTCAAGGTTGTAAGTTTGTTTCTTATCATTTTGTTTGATCCAGCGAAATGTTAAATTGCTTACTGTGTTATTACATTTGCTGGTTCAAGCGAAGTTGATCCTGTGTCCTCATCAAGAACAACTCCTGGGGCTAGAATGGGTCCAGCATTGGGGTCTTTATGCTTCTTGTGAGGTTTGACTTGGGGATCGGGCAGGTGATTGTGACCGAGGTGAGTATGAATGAGGATCCATGATGATGAATGATAAAGATATCGGGTGTCTAGTTTGAAGGGATATCCAATACGAGCTGATTTTGTTGTTCCTATGAGAGCAGATCGACCAGAGGGATAGCCTGAGCGGTAGCATTCGTAGTGTGATACTGCACTGCTCTTCTTTTGTGAGTTACCAATCCACATTCGATATCCGTGGTGCGTAGCTGGAAAGTCTGACACATATTTGTCCATCCTCCTTCAATCTTTGTGATAAATTTTGATGATACCAGGTACTGGAAAAACATACTCGTCGTTGCTTGGGTCCATTTAGTGGACTAGTTGGAAAATTTAGTAGGCAGGGATAGCTGGTGGAGTGGGTTTTCGTTGTGATATACTCAAGTAGTGAGAATTGGATGTTTAGATTGTGACTTTTGGTTGAGTGTGAATGTTGGTAGGGCGGTGAAGAGGTATTGAAGTCAAGATAGTGAGAATGTGAATGTAGTAGTAATATTCTTACTTAAGTAGTAAACACTTGTCCTTGGGTAGTAAATTCGGTGAGGGGTTTGTAATTTTTTGTGCTGAAGTCGTAACTTCTCACTTGCGTAGTGAAATTAGTGACTTGGGTAGTAGGATGTTTGCTCGAGTAGTAGTATTCTTACTTGTGTAGTAACATTGGTGCTTGGGAAGTAAGGTTTTTACTCAAGTAGTAAGATTTCCCATGAAGTAGTGAGTTTTTTGATTGAGTTGTGAGATTTTTACTCGAGTAGTAAGAATCTTATTCCAGTAGTAAGAATTTTACTCGAGTAGTAAGACTTTTATTCCAGGAGTAATAATTTTACTTGAGTAGTAAGAATTTTATTCCAGTAGTAATAATTTTACTCAAGTAGTAAGGATTTGATTCCAGTAGTAATAATTTTACTCAAGTAGTAAGAATTTTATTTGAGTAGTAAGATTCTTGCTCAAGTAGTAAGATTTACCTTTGGTGCGGTAGGGGGGGCAAGGCCCCCCCTGGGAGGAGGGGGACTTAGTGATATTTCTAGGTCACCTTAGAACCACCTATCTTACTAACAAATTCTAAAGGGCGGTTTTACAATGACATAGAATGATACAGGTGTCAGTATCATCCAATACACTCGGTGCTTTTCAGTACACACAGGTGGACTGAAGTAGTGCACAGACAAAGCTTTTCCACAAGATGTGGTGATTCACCAGTATACTCCTCTAACTCCTTCAGCACCTATGATCAATTCACTCCGTAAAACAGAGCAATTTACATGTGTGTACTGAAGAGCTACTGAAGTACCCAAATTTGGCAAATCTCACAAGTGTTCAGATATGAATATAAGCAATTTGGTTTTCTGTATTGGTACACGGAGAAAGTTGTTTTAAATTCTTAGACTGGAACTCCCAGTCCAATCTGTACCAACCGTCAAGATGAAAGTGGAATCCAGAAGACAACTTGTTGATTGACACAACTGTCAGAGTATTTCTAAGTACAAGCTGCCCCATGATTCTTGAATCTCTGCTTGATATCTGTTGGCTTTGAACAATTTCTTTTGCTGCATCCAAGCTTTAGATTTTGAAGTAACACAAAAGTGCGGGACTGAAAGTATCAAGTACAATAACAAAGGCACCCTGGAGGATCAGTTCTCACTTTTTGTGCTAATGAGGCAGGAACAAACACTGTTTGAGAACTTCAAAAGATGGAGTATGACACAAAGGATATACATATTACAATATTGGTGAGTTTAGGTGAGTCCCGGTAGCATCGTTTGTTTCAAATTTTGAGCATTCTTGAAATTAGGGCTGCTCCACAACTGATAATTTGACACTGTTTATTGAGGTTTCTAGGAACTTAAGGACTGCCCGTACAATAACAAAGACTGGCCGTGATCCACTATCAAGACTTGAAGGTAAGTAAACCACTTTGATGGTCTGAAATAGACCAACATACTGACTGCAGCTTGAATTACATCAAAGCAGAACCTCCTTGGTTAATCTGGTAGGCAATCCACAGGGACTAAGGTAAAGTCAACTTCAAAACACATCGAAATTGATAATTCAGCTAATTTCACAAGTTGACCATTTGATTTCTAATTTGCCAGATGTCCATTTACAGAACTCGTAAGGGTCCAGCAATTAGAACTGAGATTCAAGGTAGTGAGATCAATCTACGCACTCGCTTCGAACTCAAGATCCTGCATGACATAGGACAACTGGAAGACCAATGCTCCGCCTGTGGTGCACTCAGGTGGAGAGTCAAGAGAAGGGTAAAGAACGTGAATTGGCTAAGGTCTACCTATGCCAATTGCTGCCAACACAGGGCGGTTGAGATGCCTCTCCGTTATTTTGCTGAAGATGTTGGTCAAGATATTCCACCATTTTACCATGCGCTCCTAACTGAGTAAAATGATAGTGAGTGCTGAAGTGATCTTAAGGCAAATTGGGACTAATGAGGCCTGCGGTTCAGTTGCTATTGAGTTCCAAACTCAAATCCAGAAATATAATAACGCAATGTCTTCCACATTGCTTGGCGCAACAATTGACCAATCAGTCATGGGCCAACGTGGAGTCTATATCTTCAGAATCTTTGGCCAGTTGTTGCACATTATTGGTTCTTTAATGCCTTCACCCGGAAATAACCCGGGATTTGCTCAAATTTTTGTTTACCAAGGTGGTGGCAAAGCCAAAGCCCACGCTTGCAATCAACACTTCAACCATCAGCTCAATCCTCAAATCTTGAAGTTATTCCAACGCTTCATGGACTTATACAACCCGTATGCTCAAGTATTTTGAAGCGCAGCTGCAATATGTAACAATGGTGACACTTGATCTCTACAAACTAACACAACAACTGCCCCCGGTGCTGATCACCGGCGCTACAACCACCCAACTGTGAATGAATTTGCCGCCATCCCTGAAGGAGACGGACAAATTGGTGCTTGACAACAAGATATTGTACTGCAACACCAAACTGGCGACAAACAACGTATTTCAGAACTACACACAGCATATTTTGCGCTGAGGTACCCATTATTGTTCCCATACGGATCACAGACATGGCAGGAAAATTTCTCAAATCCCACTGCGGCAAGTACGTCATTTTGGTTTAAAATGTAGACTCACAAATACAACTGACAATGATACTTTGATACTAAATTAGGACCTGATGGCCAAGTCACAAACTTGGAATGGTTCACTTACTTGCTTTTCCATAGGTATTCTTTCTCCATTATTTTATTGTCAGGCCAGCTTTTCCAAGAATTTGCTGTAGATATGTATGTCTGTGTCAAACACTCCTGCCTTCAATTTATCAGATTTCACCGAAAAGAGCTCCGTGCCAAATTGTACACTGGGGTGGTTGAAGCCCTTAACAACGAGATGGAGGACAAAGTTGTTGGACAACAAGTGATACTGCCTTCAACTTTCATTGGCAGTCCTCAACACATGCAGCAACTTTATCAAGATGCTATGAGTTTAGTAGCTGAATTTGGGCATCCTAGCCTGTTCCTGACCATGACAGCTGATCCAAAATGGACAGAAATCTTGGAATCTCTTGAACCTGGCCAACTTCCCAAGGATCGACCAGACTTAGCAGCCCGTGTTTTCCACGCAAAGTTTCATTCATTACTTGACAATGTCATCAAGCAAGAGCCTTTTGGAAAGTGTTTAGCTTACGTCTATACTGTGGAATTTCAAAAGCAAGGATTACCTCATGTTCATGCAATTCTTGTTTGGACCCTGCAAGCAAACCAACAACCCCCGACCAAATTGATTGTTTAATATCAGCACAGCTTCCCGGTCCAGCAACAGAAGCCCACTTATTTGACTTAGTGACAACATTCATGTTACAGTCAAACCCGCGCTAATGCATAAATTGGGGAGACAATTTTTGCTATGCATTATCGCAGGTTATGCAAATAGGCATGCACCCCCATAATGCATATTTGTATAAGTTTATGCAATAGTATGTTTGTATTTTGCGCGGTTACAAGGACAAGATATTTTTTCGACACAGAAAAAAACACCACTAGGGGTCGGTTTGACCCCATAGAGGGCTCATTGCTGCCTGATGTTGCCAAAATCCTACTTGCAAAGGATTCGATCAGAGTTCAATGGAAAAAAAAAACATCCTGGGGCGCTTTGTGGGCATGCATTATGACTTTGGGGACTTGAAAAGAAGTATGCATTATGGTTTTTGACATAATTATGCAATTGATGACAAAATTGGCCCGCACCAGCTGGGTGGAAACCAAAACTTATGCATTTTGGCTGGTTATGCATGTGCGCGGGTATGCATGTGCGCGGGTTTGACTGTACATGGGCCATGTGAGAATTTCAAATGCTGGACTGGTTCCGAATGTTGACTTGGATATCCACATCCGTTTTGCGAGATGACCGAACTCGCCAAGGATGCTTATCCTACCTATAAGAGACCAAACAACCAGTGCCACTTCATTAAAGGTGTGGATTACTACTGTAAGGTGTTACATGTAGAGGTATGGCTTAGATGTATGGTTGTAGACGGGTAGTTGGATTACTTGTAGTCAGAGACACCCTAGCTCCATGAAGACTCTTCTTCACCGAATACTCTTCGGATGGAGCTAGGTGAGCCTTTATCTTATATTCATTTCTCTCTGTCTCTTTTCTCTTTTATCTTGTAGAGCGTATCTGATGTGTTACTCTTCTTGACCGAATACTCTTCGGATGGAGCTAGTTGTCTATTTTGGGAATATAGTTGGGTTATAGAATTAACCTTGGAGCTTTAGCTCCCGTCGTGCCACCCTTCAGTGAAGACTCCTACCCGAGTCTTACACTTTTTAATTCTATAACATCATATCAATTTTCCAATTATTCCTTTCAACCCAACGAATCAGATTCCTTTTTTTCAATTTTTTTCAAATCTTTCTCGCCAAAAAACCAGAATTGATCGACAAGAAGTAAGACGACAACCGTGAGAACTCTCACGAATCAATTGACAACCAACGCTTCATGGGGTTTGACTTACCAGCAAATTTCACAAGTGACCCGGAGATAATTTTAAAACGTCAACGCCAACGCCAATCTGCCATCGAAAGCCCAGCCGCACCGCCAGCCCCTCGCTACAACTATAGACTAGAAGTCCCTCTTGACACACCTGAAACGAATTATACAATCCAAGCTACACCAGTCAACACTTTACCAACCATTACCTTACCAGATCCAAACGACAAAACCATACCAGAAGACGCGCGAATTGTGCAGGAATTCTTCAACTCCAGACTTGACTTAACACCACAGCCCCCTGGTAGTTTTATTTTCACGCCACAACAACCATCAAGAATGGAAGGAGGTGAATCAGACAGTGGTAAAGGCAAGAGTAAGGAGCAGGATTGTACGAAGGACGAGCTTATTGCAAAATTACAAGCTGAAGTCTCGACTCTACAAGCGGATCGGTCGCGAATCTTGGCGCTAGAAGCCTCTATGTCGCGTCTCCTTTCTACGTACGACGCGACGATGACAGCAGACGATAGGAATGGAGGATCGGGTGGTACAGTAGGTGGTTCCAACCCTTTCAATCGATACAAGGACTCGGGAACTCCTACGCCCTTGGGACCAAGAAATGTCATGAGCAATGCTCAAAGCACGCCGCTAGCACCGACGACCTCCATCACTACCGTGGCGCCAGCCGAAACCACGCATTTGACGCCCTCTCCTGGTGGCCAAGTCGATTACCTCTCTGACGACGTCCCAGACCCTCCACCAGCGACTGCTCAGACAAACACAACAGCTTGGAGCCAACAATCCCTAGGACCACCTGGTTTGGAGCCACACCGAGTCTCGTTCATGGAGGCAGTGGCGCCGTTGACAACTGCACCGACTCGATCGCCAATGGGACCTCTCATCGACACCACTATCCAGTCCGACAAGCCAGTGCGAGCTTGTGACATCAAACTGTCAGACGCACCGAAGTTCACAGGCCCAGTTGAAGACCCGACAGCTCTATTCAACTGGCGACGACTGGTAGAGCAATTCTTCAGATTGAAGAGGCTCGACGACGTGAAGGAACGGCTTATTTTATTAGGCAGTATCATAGTTGAACCAAGAGCAGGTAACTGGCTTCGGAGTATGGAATCAGAACTAAGTGAGATGACCTGGGGGGAGATCATGCATGCGTTAGCGGTCGAAACCTTACCAACAACCTGGCTATACGACACGGAGCAATCAATCCGACAGCTCAAGATCAAGCCTCAAGAAGACTTCAAGACCTATGCAAATCGGGCCCGAGATCTTTATAGTCTAATTGAAATAGAGAGCTCAATCTCAGTCAAAGGTTTGGCAGAGTACGTAGTGTGGGGAACACCAGATGTATTTCAACGCTGGGTGACGGACCGACGATTGTTGAAGGTCGAACGATTCAAATGGCTTGATTTCATAGCAGCCGCGTCAGACATCTGGGCATTATTACAAGCCAGTAATTTGGTTCCCAAAGTCACTCCGAACCAAGTCACGATGTCGAATCACTCCAGTAACCCGCGTTCTTATGCTCAACCACGACAATCAACCTGGACCAACGACCGACGCACTACTGACGAAAGGGCGGACTCCGCTTGGCATTACCATCAATACTTGAGACACCTAGGAATATGCTCAGCGTGTCGTACCAAGTGTGGCAACCCCCACTGCCAAGGTCTAATCAAGGGACCGTACATTGTTCTACCTCCACTGAGTGTATTTGACCCAGGACCGCGTCCTCAATGTCGTACAACTAACGCCACCACCTATGCTTCGACAACCGCAAGATCCAGCGGTCCAGCGGGAGCACCCACACAAAAGCCTGCCGGACGACCGACTACACAATTACCAGTCAGAGCCATGGAACAATTCAAATCAACCCCTGTCGCCCCAGATCTATCTGACAAAGAGATTGCGCGTTACGAAGAAGCGGACCGAATCTTGATTGCACACATGGAAGAAGAAGCTTCAGGGTGCGTAGAAGATCAGTCTCGCACTAAGTCCATCATCCTGCGATTGATGATTAATGGTACCCCTCTCCGTGCGCTCATTGACTCAGCAGCCGAAGCCAACTTGATGTCGGAAGCAACAGCAAATCGTGCAAAAATACCTCGTAGAAAGCTGGTGTCACCTGTCGAAGTGAGCCTTGCGATTTCTACCAACACCACACCTTATGTCATCAAGGAGTTTTCTTTTGCTAATGTCAGTTCCGATGATCCAAAGTTGCGCTTTGGGTCAACGTTCTTCAAGATTGCACCATTGGGCACCTCATACGACGTGATTCTTGGTACACCTTTCCTCACTAAATTTCACTTAGATGTCTCCTTGCATAACCGT